TTCATTTATAGAACCTTCTTGGAATGCAAAGTCATACAGAAACAGATTAGGTAAGTGCAGCTCCAAAGGACAACAGAGGGATCTTCTCGAGATGTACCGCTTTGTGTGTTGACGGATATGAGCACATGATGAGTACTGGGGGGAGCAGAGGTTGCAAATAAGACTGGTGGAGGGTTAGGTCAGTGCCAAAACCTTGGCTGTGAAAGTGTGCTGTCGTTTGGGGAGTTGCTACCACTGTGGAAAATTGAGTAGAGGATGCTGCAAAATCTCTCCGTATTATAAATAACTGCAGGTGAATCTATGATTACCTCAAAGTAGTTTAATATTTTTTAAATGTGTGAAGACCCCTGGGCTGTTTATTTTTCCAAACAACATGTTTAAAAAAAAAAGAAGAAAGAAAGAAAAGAAAAATAGCCAGGAGAGAAGACAATTTTGTAAATGTGAAGAAACCACCTAACTCATAAATGCCACTCCCTCAACCTTGCTGTCAGGAATATGATGTAGGCTGCATGGTGTTGGAATTAAGGTTGGCCATGACCATGGCCTCGGTGTTCAGGGGTGTGTGTGTGTGTGTGTGTACTAGTGTGGCAGTGAGAAAGAAGAATCAGAGGGAGCAAGACTATGCCTCCCCTACAGTCAGGAAAGCTGATGAAGGTGCTGTGCTGAACGCGTGAGAAAGGTTTAAGGAGGGTGTTGGCACCCGGGAACGCCCTCCTGCTGCACCCTATGGAGGCTGCGGGTCTCGCCTGAACAGCGCGGGTGCAGCGACTGAACCCTAGTGTCCACAAGAAAAAGGTGAGTGCAGACAGGGGCGGGAGGTGCAGCTTGGGGCAGCACCAGTCAGCACTGCAGAGGCCCTGCCTGGTCCTCGGTGCGGCAGCAGAGACGCCAAGAGGACACTCATGCAGGGAGCGCAGCTAGAGTGGCCGATAGGGTGGGGTCGCCCGGAAACCCGTTGGCACTAGTCTGGTACCAGCTACAGGCTGGGGTGGGGGGCCGTGGCGGCGGGGGGAGGGGCGCACACGAAGGGCACGTGGGTGTGGAGGAACTCTCGCTGGCAGTCTCCTTCCCGCAGCGCCGCGGCGGCGAGGTATCGGTGCTGAAAGAACAGCCGATGGGGTGCTGGCCCCAGCAGGAGACACCCGTAGCCCCACCTCGGCACCCAGGGGGCACACCGTGGCGCAGGGACCACACCGAGGCCGGGCGCCTGGAGGCGCTCTCCGCGCGCGTGCCTCTGGGTGCCAGTTCCTCTTTACTACTCCTGCTTTGTCCGGGCCTGGCTGGGGATACCGGCGGGCGGGGGTACCGAAGGGGCTTCCCTACTGGTCAAACGGTGACTTGCCGGGGAAGACCAGAAGGACAGAGACTGGTGAGAGCGCCTTAGGGCTTCGAGGGAACTGCACCCGCAGCCGAGTTCCAGAGGCCGGCGAGGGCCGGTACCTCCACGTGGGTGGACCCCGAGTTGGGGGCAGCGGTGGGATCGCCGGCGGCCGTCACGTGCGCTCCCACACGTTTGCACACCAACGCCGGCACGCGGATCCAGGCTTCCACCCGTTGGTACTGGGGTCCGCGCCGGGAGCGCGCTGGAAGAGAAGGCCGCGGGGTGCGCCGCTTGGGGGTGGAGGTGCGGTGGGGTGGGATCGCACGCGACTAGGGTGTGGCCGCGAGGTGGAGGGGGCGGGGAGGCACCGGAGGGCTGTGATCGCGCTGCCGCAGCAGCCCGCAGTCGGCGCCTGGCGCAGAGGAGGTGGCGGGGGGCGGCGAAGCGCCCGCCAGTCGCCAGTCGCACTGCAGTCCCTGCCGGCGTTAACCTGTCCTCGGTGTGAAAGGAAAAGAAAAAAGGCCGTTTAAAGGGGCCAAAGTCTCTCTGGCTCCAGCCGGAGCGGAAGGGTTTGACTGCGGGTCCTGGGAGTTGCAGGGCGCCAGGTGCCATACTGCGGGAAGTGACCGCGAGCGCAGCGGCCGCGTCTCCACCGAGGTCCTGGAGCTCCGGAGGGCGCGGCCCAGATGGGAAAATTCTCTAAACTGGGCATGTCCCAAAGTGACCCTAACGCCTAGTGTTAACCCCTCCTACACACACACCTCCACATTGCTACCAGTCTTTTAAGCGTTCAGTACTATTGTTGCGTCCTTCCCCCACCCCCCAACACGATCAGCTTCACTGAATGTTAAAAAAAAAAAAAACCAGCATAAATTCTTCACTCCGTTAACCTTTCGGTCCCTAAATACCCACGAGGCAGCGTCTCACAGCCCCTTCCACGCGGCTACCCCAAGCCCGCAGAGTTGCTTGCGGGCTCAGCTTTTGCTCGGCAAGCCCCGGACAGAGCCACCGGAGGACGCTGAAGGCAAATGCCCTGGTATCAGCCAGGCGCCGCCGACCCGACTGGGCCCATCTCCCACAGCGAGCGAGCGAGGAGGCCCTGCGGGACCGGTGGTCGTCCCGCTCCCGGGCATCGCGCTGTCAGGGCGTGACCCGGTCAACAGTGAACTCGAATCCCGAGAACCTGCCGGCCCGATACCTGTCTCCTGTACCCCAGCGGGCTCTGGGCAGCCACCTGGACTGCACAGTCCCCAACCCCGTCCCTAAAGCAGAGGTAGGGGTGCCTTTCCCGGTTACCTGTCTCAAGTCAGTAGCCACCGGGAGGGGTCTTCCTCGCTCTGCTTGCCCAAGGGCAGAGTCCAGGAAGGTCCGAGGTCCTGTGCCACGTGTCTCCCCACCCCACCCCCAACATGCGGGGCGACCCCCGTGTATGTGAGTGTGTACGCGCGCGCGCGAGCATTTCACCGCACCGAGTAATTCCCAGACGTGCAAGACAAAGCATTTCAAGCAAACATGGTCCAGACTTAAAGTAACAAAACAAAACTAGAAACTGCCTCTCCTCCAGGCACTGCACCAGCGCCCTAGCCGACCGCGGCCGCTGGAGCGCCCACAAACCGGAGAAGGGTTGTTAACTCTTAACGCCCTCCAGACCCGCTCGGAAGTGACCTCCTCTGGCGGAGCGTCAACAAGTGACCCTAGCCGGCTCACAGCCGCGCTGTCCCCAGGGCTTGCTGGAGTAGCTGGCTGGGTGTGCGTGGAGGGGGGATGGGAGGGGTGCGAGACTACCTATTTTTAACTGCGAAAATTCTTTCTGCCTGTGCCCTTCGTGCTGGGATTCTCTTGTCACAATGAACCCCCAATTAAAGTGGCAATATCAACACCTGGAAATGGACAGTTTACCCCTCTTCCTAGTAAAGAGGTTTTTGGTGTTTTGTTTTGTTTTTTTAACAGAGCACACATCTTGGCGGATTTATACTTTATTGATGAGATTCCCTAAACTTTGTTTGGAAGATGGGGGTGGTGACTGGCCTTGTACTGAACACTTCTCCCATCGTCCAATTTACAGTGCTTAGATTCTCACCTTCCTCCAAGGTTCCCCATCTTGTAAGGGATGACGCCCCCCTTGTAAGGGAAACTACTGTCATTTGTCTCGTGTTCCCAGAAACCCTCGTCAGCCTGTCAAGATCCCCAGCTAGCGCGGATACGCCCATCCCGGCGGAGAGGCCCTGAAGGGTGAACGGTGCGCTGCCCGGCTGTCCCCACCTACAGCCCCCCCACCTCCCCAGGGACAGGGACCTCCATCTTCCTCCGTGTGGTACGCTGACCTCAGCTGAGCGCCGTGGCAGCCTCAGCTGGAAACCGCGTCCCAAACCGAGTACAAACTCCTTTGGACAAAAGTTTGAAACAATCAAGTGTAGCGACAGACTTCTCCTTGCAATCTGGTTGTAACAAACAATCATAGAAATGTAACCACACAAGTGGAGAGCAGACGCCCAGATTCTCGGTCCCCACGTGTTGCTAGCGTTGGCGCAGACGCGTCCGCCGGCACCGTGGCGAACGTGACACCGCATTTTCTCCGAATTCCTGCCTTCTAGGGGGGTGCAGCGGGAGACAGGGCCCTAGAAAGGTGGGGGAAGAGGCTGCGGAATTCACTCGCTTGGGGGGGAGCAGTGATGCTTTACAAAGGTGCGCACCTCCGGAGGGTTCCTGCACTACCCCATTCTTACACACTAGAAGAGGAACGTTCATTACGGAAGATTAATAACCCGGTTTCCCACGACCGTGCCGCGCGTCCCTGCCGGCACGACTAGCGCAGTTGTTTTCATTTGACCTTTATTACTAGCGACGGGCTCCCAAAGGCTTAGAAATGGGTTCGCACCCTGATGACCGCCCTCTCCCCCTCCCCCGGGCTTGTTTAGGGAAGACCCAAGACCCGCAGCTCCTGGACTCCTCCTCCCCCACCCGAGAGGACCGGCCTTGATCCCTCCGTGACCTGACACCCGGGGGTTGGGGTCGTTAGACCTCCTTGGGTGTGGTCGGGGTCCCCCGGGCCTCGGAGCTGGGCGGTGTCTGCAACGTCTCGTCGGTGGATTCTCTCTAGCACAGCGTGCCGGCGTGCCGAGAGAAAACAAACAAAACACACTTCTAAGTGCCACTGGCATCTGTGGAATGGCGGTGGTCTATAGAGTGGCCGGGCCTGGAGGTGTTGGGGGAGGGTCCTGCGGCTAAAGGGAGGGTCCTGCGGCTAAGGGGAGGGCGTGAGCGCGACGGAGGCCAGCCGGCTGCGGGGGAGCCATTCCTTCTCCGGGTTCAGCCGGCGGGAGCACCCGGTGAGACAGCTTTAGGGGCTGGTAGGCTCTCCTGCACCCCACGTGCTCCCCCGCCTTCCCTGTGTCCCCCGGCTTTTCCAGCAGGAAGATGGGGTGCCCAGCGGGGTGGGGCGCGCGGGGCCGCGGGGCCCGGCCGTCACGTGCCCCCTCCCCCGCACTGCAGCGGGAGTTCCAATCAGAGCGCGCCAGGGGGCTCCTCCTGGGCCGGAACCACCCGGCTCCGCGGCGGAGGGTGGGCCGCCGTCACCTGACCGCCCGCCCCCGCCCCCCGCGAGTAAGGGGCGGTGGTAGCGTCTGCTCGGTTACAAATGGCCCCTCCCGCCCGGCTCGCCCGCTCGCTCGGGCTCGGCGCGGACCCTCCCGGGCGCGCTCCTCCTCCGGCGTCCTGCCGCCCAGCCCAGAGCCGGCCCGCGGTCCTCGTCACCCTGGAGGGCGCTCCGGCGCCCAGCGTGGAGGCTCGCGGGCGGAATTCGAGACGAAAGGTTGGCCCCTGGGGCGCGCGGCTCTCCTACCGGCAGGTGAGTGTGCATTGCGGGCGTGGGATGCTGCGGGACTGCGCGGGGCCGTGCGGGGCCGTGCGGGGCCGTGCAGATTAAGTTTGCAGAGCCATTTTTCTCACCATCTCGGTGGCTTTTTCCTGTTCCTGCGGGTTGGGGGCTCCCGCGAAAGCCTGGTTTTGGGGGAAGGGCTTCGGGAAATTCTTGTATTGAGATACTTGACAAAGGTTGAAAAGACATCAGGTGGGAGCGTGTAGCTGCAGCTGATGGAGATTGCACAGGTGCATTGGAGTGTGCCTGCGTGTGTGGCTCCTGGGTGAGAAGGGTGAACCTGAGATGGGGTGACGCCTCTGCGGTGGGTCATTCCGTCCCCCAAAGCCACTTAGATGCCGGGGAGAGGCATTGCACTGTTCAGAGGTGGTCACCAAATGTTACCGCAGCAAACGGGTAACACCCTTCCCTCCTCCCCACCATTTCTGATATGAGCCTGTCATATCACCTGCAGGAGAGCAAGTGGCTCACTAAAAGTGTGTGAGTTCTTTAGGAACCCAGAAGAAATTTCTTTAATTTCTTGGCAAAAATTAGTATTAAAAGTGCTGAATCATGCAAAAAAAAAAAAAGACATGGAAAATAATTCGGGTTTTGGTAAAGTTTTAGAAAGCTAATATCTGCGGTTTGGGGGTGAATGCTTAAATTTAAGGTGTAGGTGTGGGTATTTAAAATTATATTTTGACACTGTGCTCTTGGCTTTATGGCTGTTGGTTGTTTTTTCTTTCTTGAGGGAGAGTTGTAGCCATTTATTATCCCTTACCAACATCTCCTCCACTCTCCCCCCAAAAAATATCCAAGACATTCTTGTGTGTGTGTGTGTGTGTGTGGTGTGTCCATAGTTGTAAAAGGAGTGAAGAAATAGTCCTAGGAAATAGAAAATATCCTCCTTCGAGTGCAATGATGGCCAGTTTGATTTGTCATATGCCACTGAAGGAAATGTCAAGCTGATAACATGCAGACTAGAGAAAAAGAAACAGGAGTGGCCCATCAAAGAAGAAATAAACCTTAATCCAACTGCTGTCAATATAAGAGCCAGAGGATTAGTGCTCACTGGAACCTGAATCTTTGGTGGAGATGGAGGGGTGCAGTTTTTGATGCAAGTTCTGAGATTAGAAACCAAGTAGCATGGAAATAATTTTTTTTTTTTAAAGATCAGTCAGGATTAGTAAAATGGGTGTGTCCAGAGACAGCTCCTGCTCATTTATGCTGGGCTGCACTGTCTGAAATGCCCAGTGGCCTGCTGACTCATAAGGGAGCCAGCATGGCTTAGCAGGGTTGGATTTTACCTGAGGTGCTAAGAACTATACCCGCTCTTAAAATAAAAAGGAAGCAGAAAAAAAGCTTCAACAGAGACATGAGGACCAGGGAAGCTAGTCTCCTCTCTCTCTTCAGGAAGGGTTTCCCCACTGATTCCTTGACTTGCACCTTCATTTCAATACCTATCATCTGCGTTTGTGCACAGCACGTTTGGCTTGACACAAAGATTTCAATCTAAATCTTAACATTAGAAGTAGTGGCACTCCTAACATGAGGATTTCAAAGGTGTCTGTGAAGGACACTGAAAAACTGCAATACCAACGATTCATTGAGTTTTCTTTACAGCACGGACTCTTAACATTGCATGGGAGACCCGAGAGCCCCACCCTGTTTCTGAGTATCTGCATGAAAGGCCAGAAAAGGAATTCCAACAGTTGCAGTGGTGCAGAGAGAGGCAAATTCTAGAATTGGGTTTTGTGTTTATTTAAATAATAACTAAAAATTTGAGTATAAGTTTTACCCGATAAGTAGATCTTGAAAAGCATAGTGTTCCTGTTTTCACCCATCAGCTTGATAAAATATCCATTTAACTTTGAGAGGTTAATCTTGATAGAATGGGAATATGAAGTGAGAACTGCTTCCACATTTTAACATCCTGAGGCTAGATGACATGATCGGAAGGACAAATACCAAAGCACATAGCAAAGCCTAAGAGAATGGTTCTTGCTCGGGTGTTCTTAAAAGTATGGCTTTTTCCTTTTTTAAAGAAAGGACTCATTTCTAGGCAATAAACCTCTTTGAGGAATAGATAAGCGCTTGGCATCTCAGAACAGAGATTCATAAACAGAGCAGAGAACAGATGAATAAGCTTGGTTCTTCCATCAGAACCCAGTCATGTCACGTCAGATTAGAGGAAAGTCATTTCTGCAACCAGATTTTAAAGCTTATTGCAGATCTACAGAAAAGGAAATGTTTTAAGCAGTTCAGCAGAAAGAGACCTTCATAAATTTACAAAAATTCTTAAATTTATAAGGACGCACTAAAAAATCATAACTCGTCATCATCACGGCCATGTTACCCGCCTGTCTACTGCAGACAATGGGTCTGGCCCCTGGGAAGAGCGAGACCCAGTGAGAGAGACCTTTTTCTTTTCTTCTTTAAAAAACAAGATTTTCAAAAGGATGCCCATTTACTGTTACCATTCACTTTTAAGACAAACACATCATTTAAAGGAGAGAAGATGATACTTTCCCTTGATGACTAGCATGTATTAATGCATTTCTAAATCTGGAGGTGGCCAGTGGGCAGTAAGTAGCTCAACGGTCATTCCATGTTCAGTGAGGCCCCAGGTGCAAATTGCTTGTTCTCGTTGGAACTAAAGCAAATTCAAAACTGCTGAAACCACTTCTGCTGTTTTCCTTCTCTCTTATTTTCCTTTAAATTCACAAGCCATACCTACAAATCCTAGCACCTGGAAGGTGTTGAAATATCACCAGGAACATGCAATCAGGTAAATTGCCTGCAGTTGCTGGTCATTCTAAACTCAAAGGAGATTTCAGCTTTGGCTTCAAGAAGCAACGTGTAGATTGTTCTGGCGCTTTGCTCATACACAAGCAGCCTGATTTCAAAGAGGGTCTTCCCTTAAGATCTACACGGATTATTTTGTCGAAGTTAGCCCTGCCTACTTGCACAGTTAATTGCAATGTAAGAAGTTTCCAGAACAGTACCCTTTTGAGTTCCAACAGTAAATATGTACATAGCATTGTTTGAAGAACATTCCAGAAAACTCACCTTCCAGCACAGTGAATGCGGTAGCTGAATAAATACCTGGGTTACTTGCACTTGCCAACAAACCTCATTTTTCTCTTAACCACAGGAGATGGTGTTAGGTACAGTGGGAATTTGTAGGACACTAGAGTCTTGCAAGATGGAAAGGGCATCTGATTGATGTCTGTCTGCTTTTAGGGTTGACCTCCAAGAATCTACTATTTTCCACTTGAGGATATCAGCTTACATATGTTTTTCAAAGAAATTGGTGAAAATACACGTTATTCATTCACTTATTACAGACAGTTGTAGGGTCAGTAATGTTAATAATATCATTAGCTCTAAGTAGTTGAAAATTAATATATGCACATAATTTGGGATGAATGAGTATTGGATTGGGGTGGTTTGGAATTGCCTTTAAAAAAACATTGGAAACTTGTTCTTTTAAAATTATATGACATTAAATACTTGGACATACATCACTACACACTTAAAGAATGCACTTTGATGTATACACTTTTGCCTCCTACATAGAGCACATTCAATTCTACAAGAACTAGAATTGCTATTTAGGGTTATGCAGTTATTGATTTGGGGGAGAGAACTGGGGCACAGGGGAGGGTTTTTGTTTCTGTCATATGGATGGTGAATTCTGTACTATGCTTGGAATACCTTAGCAGTTAGGACCTCCAAGAAGAGACAATCACAAAAGTAATGGTTTATATTGTAAAATATCTTCTGCAATCAATGTTTCTGCTTTTCAATTGCCTGTTTTAAAAGTGTTCATGCTCTAGGTTTTAAAACTAAAAATACTAGAACCAGCTTTTGTCCAGTTGTAGTTGAGGATGCATCTCCTTTGGTCAAATTTCTATAAATCTTCTTGGCTACTCATGGAATTTGGGAGCTCTCCAGAGTGCTAACGATGTAAACATCTTGGTGTTGCAGGTTTTCCTTTGCTACTGTGGATGGTGACTGCACTCTTCTGCCTGGGAGTGGTTCAAACTGTAAGTGCAGTGAACCAAATAATCAAATATTGATAATTCTGGACTCTTTGCAGAACTATTCTCATTTTCATTCTTGCTATCTGAAATTCTAGTTTCACAAAAAAAGACTCTGGAAGGAGGTGCTAGCCCCTTGGGTCCGAGGGGAAAGATGCTTAACTTAAAGCAGTGTTGTTCATTGCCCCATGCAATGTAATTCTATGCAGCCGCCGTCACAGCTGTCAGCTGGCATTCTTCTCTGCCTGTCCCTACACATTATTTTTCGTGGTTGTACAATTGACACTTCCCCAGATGTCCCACCTTTCTGGGTAGCCCTGCTTATTCTAATCTTCTGTGTCAGGCAGATACATTCCAATATGTAAACCATCCCTGTCTTAGGAGCAGAGTTCTTTTGTGCTCGATGAAACCCTTTGTCCAATACTGAGTGAGCTTTCCTACCATGTATATTAAATGAAACATTTGTTTGGCTCTGCTGATGAATATCATGTGCAATTTGGTTATAAAATGCAAAGTGTTAAAGTATGCAGGAGGCCATCACTGATTCATGCAAAGATGTTGGGAACCTGGGGATTTTCTATCTTTCCCAAGCTTGGGTCTGCCTGCTTCTGGACATCACACACTTCCAAGTATGGTTCTTCATGGGAGGAATTAGTCTCAGAAAGGAAGCCCTTCCTGCTTTGTTAGAAACCTCAACCTGTAGTTTAAGATGGTTTTGAAAAATTGTTAGACATTTAATGCATTGCATTAGTGGTCAGCTTCTAGAAAGCTAGGAAAAATATCTTCCCTGCCTCTTTCCCCTGGTTTCTCTGCCCCCCTTTTCAGCCCCCGCTTCCAACATGGATTTCCATTTAATTCAGTTCACTAAATATCTCTCCATTTTTGTTCCTTTGCACAGTGTATTGCTAGAGCTGCTAATAGACTTTCAACACAAATAGTATATTGATCACTTGAAATCTTGTTTGAGCTTGACTGAATATACATAATGGGGTGTCAATCGGGGTGGGGGGAATCTCATAATAAATGGCAGGCAACTTATATTCATGAGAAAAAATGTCTTGGGCAGCACACAAAATATCATGTTTACTGTAGCATGACAGACTGATTTGGCTGTCTCCATCACATTCTTCGGGTGGATATTTAATAGCAAAGGCAAGGTTAGAATACCAAGATCCTGGAGTCTTTCTTTCTTTGTTTATATGGAGAAGCATTTCTGCACGCTCTAGAGTATAAACATCTTCTAGAACCACAGCCAGCAAGAAAGATCTTTTCTACCTGAAGAATTTAGAAATTGCAAACAAATCTGTTTAAGTTGGTGTGTATTTAAAATCAGCTACTGATTTATGCAGTCCATATTTTTTAACTTTTTACCATGTGTGTATCAGTGCATACACTCGCTGTATGCAAATATTATTTTCAATGTGTATATGAGAGAGCACAGTATATTTAGAGAAAAGCCTGCTTTGCATAAATTATTTTTAAGAACAACCGAACAGAGGAGTAGCCATGCGTTCGGAAAGCTGAATCTTTTTTTCCCCTTTCAAAATTTCCCATTGAATGATAAGTAATGGAATCTCAATTTTAAAGTTGTAGGTGTAATTCCTTAAAATCTACATCCCTGAAAGAGCAGTGATTATGATGGTAGTATTTCTGAGAAAGAAACATTCTTGGGTGTTTTCTAAAAGTGAGTTGCTGCTTGTTGTCTGGGTAGAAAATGACCACAGAGGGAACATAGGGTGTTGTAGTAGCTGAAATCCTGCTTTACCCCTGTGACAGTGTGGGGTGCATTATGTCCTCCCAGACTGCTGGGTGGGGTACAGCCTGGTTACCAGCTTGAGTTCTTTGTCTCCCGTAAGTGAATGAAGCCAATGGTCTCTTTGCTAAGCAGGTTTTCATTTGCTTTTTTTATAAATTTAAATCATCGCCTTGGCAAATGTCTCTTCCAGTTCCTGTAGAATATGCAAGATTTTAAGTATATTATGGCATAATTTTTCATTTTTTTTAAGTCTCAGGTCATGTCTGGCAGGAGAAACCTACTGGCAGAGTGTGTAAAACAGAGGACAGCGAGGCTGTTAAAATCTATGAGGTGTAACATCAGGCTCTGGGGAGGTCTGTTATTTTTCCATAGGGTTTCCAGAACTTTTGCCTGTTTTCATCTACTTCATTAAAAGGCTACTATTTGGGGGTGGTTGTTTTTAAGGTTTCTGATGTTCAGTCAGAAAGAATATAGTTTGCTGACAAAATGGAATGACCTGAGAACTCGCCAGTTGCAGAGGTTCAACAGTATATGATTACGGTTATGTATTTTAGCAGTAACTTTTACCAGTAAATATCTATGTCTGTATAGTTCCTTTCTACGTGTATAGTTTTTGTAATATTTAGAAACTACTTGTAGTTTGAAGCTATTTTTATACAAATCAAATTTGTCACATAAGTTTGGGGAATCATACTTTAGAACTTAGCAAAAGTTAGATTCTGAGAACTTCAGACTCAGGAATTAGATATTTGAATAAACTTTATTACTGCTAATCTACAAGAAATACATTTTTACAAATATTAGAAGTGGAGACCTGTCAGGTATCAGTAAAAGGAAAAAAATAAATCCTGGGACAAAGAAAATTGGAAAGCAAAATTCAACCCCCCAATCTAAAATTTGAGTCTGTTGTATTTACAGGCCTTGTTGTTTTCAAACACTTTACTAATTTATTTTAATATATTGAAAATTAGTAAGCACTAAATAGAAATTATACGAACTATTTTCTATGAAAAGATATTAAGGATTATGTTTTGGCTATATAATACCAGTTT